ATTTGAACAAATACGCACAAAAACATCAAAATTAGCACAGAAACAGTACTACTGTATATAACATTTTAGACACATTTTAGACAGTTTATCAGCTAAAAAAAGTTAATTTTGGGGTAGGTTACTCTTTAAATCAAAGTCAGCTTTCTTATTTTAAGCTGTTATTTTAATGCACATAGCTGACTGTGGAATAGTTTTACTTTTCAAAACATTAAATTAGTGCATTTTTTATGAAAATGGCGACCTAAAGATTTTTAATTATTTTACGTTATTCTTCTATTTGTTGTTAGATCGTCAAAAATGCTCAAGGTCAGAATGTACTTTTTAAAACACGTTTTGATTAAATACTTTGTTTTTTTTTTTGTTTTTCTGACCAAGTAAATAATTGAAAGACAACAACATGGATTCTGCGAAGCCAAGATTTAAAGATCAAAACATTTTTTTATTTCATCCCCTGAGGATGAATTGATTTGTTAATTTTTCTAACTAGAAACTGCAATTTGCGAAAACAAGGATTAATAAATTCTGCACCGTTAGTCGCGCTCCGATGAGTGTTTTCTCCACAAAGCATGTGCAGAAAGGTCACACGGTGCAGAGATTCTTAAAGGGCAGCAGATAGTTGTGAAGGGAAAATATGGATATAAATGCTGCTTTCTTGCAACACTTTCAGTGTGTTGCAGCAGCAGTTTATTTAATAATAATAAAAAAAAGTTGGTCTCTGCTCATAAATCACACTGAATAATGACATAAAAGCAAAAACATTTCGAGTGTATCAGCTGATGTGTTTGGCTTTTTAAATTCAACATCATCACAAGTGTTATGAATATACTTTAATCTCACTCCAGTGCACATTGTTTTCTTCTGAAGGTGGGATTCTCATTTAATAATGTAACACTTGAAATTAAATTTGCCTAAAGGCTTTGCTCTTCTGTTCTTCCTTTTTTTATTTTTTGTCTCTCTGGATGATTTCTGTCTCATTGGAGCTGTCTGCTTTCCTGCTTTTCCTTTTTTTCAGCACTTTTGGCTTCAACAGGATCGATTCATCAGCTCCTCTCTTTACATCTTCTCCCCCAGCTTCCAGTGTTTTCCATCATCCCATTTTCCAACTTAATACCTCACTTTCTGATCTCATTATTGTCTCTGAACCTGAGCCAGCTTCTCCTGACAGCATTAAATGTCTCTCAAGGTTCTTTGTCTTGGACCCTCTTAGACAGCCGTGTACCATTATTCTTGTTTTATAACAGACAGAAAGCCTACAGCTGAGCCCTTTATCTCTCTCTTGTTTCCATCCAGCTCTCACGCCTCTCTCCATATTTGACCTCACGTCTGTTCATCTGTCTTCGCAGAGGCCGTCCATCACGTCTCCGTCAGCGTCAACGTGTCCCACTCCACGCTGGTTTGTGGCGAGGCGTGGGGGACGGACCCCAGGTTCAGCTGGCTCCACGAGACAGCCGTCGTCACTCAGAAGGTGGGGAGGGTCTCCAGGGACGGGACGACGCTGTTCGTGACCATGAGACCCATTTGTGGCCACTTTACCTGCGTGGTTAGCAACAAGCTGGGCCACGGTTCAGCTGCCTATGCTGCAAGTAACTAACGTTCAGTCTGAGACTTCTGTGTGCCATTTTACATAAACATTAATAGTGTTCTAACCCTGGAAATGCACTTTACAGCACTCATCAGTACTTTCCTCTCGGTGGTGGAAACATAAAATGAAAGGCATTAGTTTAAGTGGTAAAACCACCAATGAGTTTTCTCCCTTCTCAGATGTATTGACTAATTCGCAGACTGCTTTTACAGCAAAACATAAAACAGGTTAAAACCGATTTCAGTCCTATAAGTCACTCCWGCACATTCCCCAGGTTCCAAAAATTGATTTCTTTATACAATAAAACTGGTAAAGGCTCCTTTTCTGTGATGGTTTCTCAAAATAACCTCACAATATTAAAAATACAATAAAAATAGTCACATGATGCTTTAAACCAGTGGTTCCCGACCTTTTTTGACTTGTGTACCCCTTGAGCCATTTTGTCGTACCACTAGTACCCCTTCAGTCAACGTAATGATGATTCTCCAAAACTATAATGTACAACAGCTGATTATTAAATGAAAATTATTTATTTAACCCACTAGAACATATAATTCTCAGGCATTTTATTCTTCTCAACTCAAATTAAACATAAAGATAAAAATGTTGCCTTGAAAGTGAATAAGTAATTAAATAAATAAACCAGGTAACAGCAGGTACAGGAAAAAGCAGCGTCCAAAGTACATCAGAAACTCACCCAAATGAGTAAATTCTGTGAGATTCTGTGGGAAATTTCACAGAATTTGCATTTCTGTGGGAAAATGTTCCACGTACCCTCTGTAATATGCTTGCGTAAACAACAGTTTCAGTTCTGCTTCCTTTGATTTATTTAATTCAAAAGGAACTATGTGCATGAATCATCTTACTGTATAAACAAGTTTAAAGTGCCTGTGACACGCCTATCCTTCAAATACAAAAAGTCAAAGAAAACATTTTTAAACAAGAAAATTGGTGTAGTACACATGATTTTACCAATTTTTATCATGATCTGTGTTTTTGCTTTCATTTTCTAGTGTTTCTCTGTTCCCCTGTGTATCTCTTCCCTGCTGTCTTGCCTCCAGCCCCGCCCACGTTCACCTGTTTCCTCTCATGTCTCCCCAGGTGTTTCCCATTGTCTCTTAATTAGTTTGCTTTATATTCTGTGTCTTGTCATCAGTGTTTGTCGGATCATTGTTTCCTGTTCTGTCTGTTGCCCGTGAGTTTTTCCTCTGTACCAAGCAAATGAGTTTTGAGCTGCTTTGTCAGCCTTTTCAGTTATTAATAAAGCCTTATTGTTACTTTTTGAACTTTGCCTGCACCCCGGCTTTTTTCCTKCCTGAGTTCTGTCAATTTTGTCACATAATTGGCATATTTTCTTTTGAATTTGTCTCAGCCAAAGTGAAACAGGAAGTGACATCAAAGGGGAACTCATCAATAAAATAAACTCTCTGGTTTTTGTTTATTAAAACATTTTTTGAACTTGAACGCTTCTTCGTCTCTCTTTGCTAGAGACTCAAAATAATCTAAAGAAACATCAGATTCTTCTCTATAGTTTGTGTTGTTAGCTTTTGTTACAATGCTCTGTTTACATGCAGACATTCCACCTTGACATCACTTCCTGTTTCTTCACATGCAAATATCTCAACAACCATTCATCTCAGCGGTGTGAAATTTGTTTTGCAACATGATATCTATGTTATCTGTCCAAAAATGCATTCATCTTTATTACAAAAATCTGATGTCACAGGCCCTTTAATGTAAATCCACTCAAGTCAGACAAAAAAAACCCAAAAACAGGTTTTTATCAAAAATATATTAGCCTGAAATCAAAAGRAATAAAAAAAACCTGAGTGTCAACACAGAAATAGAAAAGAACTAAAACTATCAATCCTCAAATGAATGCATATCACCTATGGCCTTGTATGCTAAAGCTTTCAACAAAGATTTTATGTAACCTGGTAGTGCTTGGAGTACGTGTCTGGGATCAGTCTCAGCTACCACCTCCGTTTTAGCTCAGTATCCGTAAAACTTATTGATAATGAGCAATTTTTGTCTTAGATAAGCTGTGGTCATCAACTTGGGTTKGATGGATTTCAAAGTTTAATCAGTTTGATACAACCAATTATTAACTCATCAAATATTTATGAGGTATTTTGCTAACAGACAAAATAATTCACACATACAACATGGCAACTAGAGCTGGGTTTCACCTGGCGATTCCATAYGATTTTCGACACAGAGCTCACGATACTACAATACGATAACATATCGATACAAATTCCTTTATACTTATTGCTCAGTGCCGCTGACTCAACAAAACCTGCAAATACTATAAAATTATTTTATATATTTATATTGATAAAAAGATAAGTGTCCAACTGTTTTCTTTTAAGGACGAATGGTGCTGACAATTACTCATCGTGCATGGTTATGCTGCCCCCTAAGGGTTTGGGGGAGTGTATTGATATAAAAAGAAAGAAAATTGATATTATCATATACAGTGGTTTGCAAAAGTATTCATACCCCTTGAACTTTTCCATATTTTGTCACATTACAACCACAAA